CAGATGGATTAAGAACATTTTGCTCAATTCAGACCGAATGGTCTCAACTTATTATTAAAGAGCGCATTCCATTCTACAAGAAAATCTTCATAGGGCCACCTACGTGGACGGCATCAGAAGAATTTGCCCTGGAAACATGGTGCACTGGTCGATCTCAATGGGGTCTTCGAAGGATCGTGTACCATAACGACCCTTACTGGAAAGCTAGTTCCGAGGGGATTTGCACAGTGGTAGCTAATGCCTCTAGAAAACTATCCAACATTAAATCGATTCACGAAATTGCGTAAGAGCTTCAGGCTGAAGCTCTTACGGTAGACCTCCTTGAGCCTGACGACGGTGACAGATGACGTCATATTCTGAAGACGGTGAGGGCAGTGAAGGAGAGCCTGCGTTCACTTATAGAGGGACACTTAGGGAATACTCTGCTGAGGAACTCCCGTCAACGACAGCAATCTCTGCGAAGAAAAAAGAGCCGAAGTCCGACATAGGCAAAATGTCTTTTTTTTTGCCCCCCCCCTGTATAGGCCAGTTCAGCGGCCACCGTCAACCGAAAGACTTGGTGATTCAACATTTTGTACTGTTCTCTGGGCACTCTCGCACATACATACTATTACAGCATCTCTGCTTTCTTTCCCTCCTTCAAAAGGCTTAGTCCCAGAAAACACAAAATTTGTGCTTTTTCTGTCTGGACTCTTACGCGTTGGTTGACCACTGCCCCGTAACGTATATTTGCGGACCGTTGTTGTACGTTATCCCCTCCGAAATACCTCTTTAGGTTTTTTAAAAATGAATAATCATCAATATCAATAATTCATCAGTGATAACGCATAATGTTTTCCGGTTCTAAAAATGAGTGCAAACAGTTCAGGAACATCGAAAAATGTCAAATATTGCAAATTAAACTAGGCTCTTTTGTGTGAAATCATGTCAAAAGTAGTCCGTGAAGAACGCGAAGAGGAAGTATCGCGGCAGGAGCCGCGAGAACTGTCACGAACTCAATGCGATTCAAGCGCCGCTATGGCCTGTCTTGTGGTGACCGTGCAGCCAACCCTGCATCATGCCGCATCGTGCCGTCTCGCCCCTGCGACGTACTCTATTGTTTCTCCTCCTTCTCGCAGCGTTGTGTGACCCCATCTGTACCCCACCCGCACACTCAAAAAAATTTCAATGTTTTCCATGGCGTTCTTGTTTTCCGCTCTCATTGACGGTTTTCAAGCCATCTTGTCTAATCCCCCAACAAAATATACACTCGAGTTCGGATCCTCGACGCCTGTGCCCTTTAAGGCGAATGGCGTCCATCGACAGCAGGTGTCAGGCACGTCAAAGATGTCGATTAAGGCGAGAAGTAAAAGGTACCTACCATTCAGGCGAGTAGGCGAATTATCATTTATTTGATTCCCACCTTGTGGCTAAGGCAGTTAACAGTTTTATCGTTCTTAGAATTGTTCTGTCCCGAAGTCTCATGTCGATCTAAATGTGTATTAAACAATGTGAGACTTCAAAATTTATTGCAAAAGACTCAAAACTTTCTACAAAAGAAATTGCAAAAATGTGTGTTTGCAAAAGTTTTGCAAAAGTTTAGCCTTTTTGGCGAGCTTTCGGCGCTTAGCGCCTTTGTCGAGCCTGAAATGAAAATTAGAAAGCGTAATAACTTTTTAAGTCTGCTAATATATTAAAATATATAACTGACCCAACCTGCTGTCCACATCAGATTTTAAGAAAAAAGCTTCTAATTTTCATTTCAGGCTCGACAAAGGCGCTAAGCGCCGAAAGCTCGCCAAAAAGGCTAAACTTTTGCAAAACTTTTGCAAACACAATTTTGCAAATTTCTTTTGTAGAAAGTTTTGAGTCTTTTGCAATAAATTTTGAAGTCTCACATTGTTTATTACACATTTAGTTTATTGTGTTATGACCCACACTGAGCCATGGGTTGCAGTTTGACGGTTCCACTTTCGCTTTCTCACCTTCTTAGGATCTTCGGGTACCCGAGGAGGCCCTCCGCGCGACAAGAAGGCAGATTCGGCAGGACAAGTCGCTGTAGTGATTTGGCGTCAAGTTAAATAGATTTAGCATTGTGACCTCTATTTCGGAAACGAGAAGAGCGTTGAGTGCAGACACACACCACAAGTGACGACGGCTAGGAAAAAAGTGGTTTTTTTCTTGGCCGTCGTAATTGTGGTGTGTGGTCTGCACTCAACGCTCTTCTCGTTTTCCGAAATAGAGGGTATGTCGAACACCACACAGGCGACTCAACCGCTGAGTCTGTACTCTCACTGCGCGACGGGCCTTCTGTCGTGTATCCGGAATCCCTGCAAAAATTAGGACTCTTGTTGCCTTTCGCCAAATGTGCCTTTGCTGGAATAGACCAGGAAACCTTTCTCATCTTTCCAAAATTGTATATTGAATAAACTGTAATTATTTATTGTATAGTGGAATTTAAATTGGAATTTGGCTGTGTACAGCCTGATGGAACGAGTTTATTTCCACACGTATACTTCAAACAGACCTTTCTTCTCGGGTAACCGTTAACCCAATGTTTTTGCTTGGAGTTGAAGAAGATGATCCAATGTTTTGTAGTAGTGCCGAATATATGGTGATCTTGCTTTTTGTTTCTTGGGATGCAACGATGGCACGCAAAGCTTGTGAGCCTTTTCGAATACAGTATCATGGACGAGTTTGATTACGGGTTTGTTCTGTTTGTCCATCGTGACTCTATAATTAGCATGGACGGTTGCTGCTTTTCCTTTTTTGAGAAATTTCTGAAATATTGATTCAATCAATGGTTATCTGGCAAAGACATACAGTTGACCAACAAAAGTTCTCTACGCCTCACCGACACATGTTTCAAAATAACGGTTTCGTTGCCTTTCTTCTCGATTAGAATCTCAAGGTTAAGTTGGTATGTTTCGTTGCGTGGCTGAATAACGCATTAATATTTTCTAAAAGCCAAATCGTTTAAAATCTACAGAACTGGCAAATTGTTTGACATAAAGGCATTATTCTATACCAGTTTGGCTCCGCACGCTAGCGAGCTCATTGAGTAGTGGCGTCAAGTGGCGCCAGTGAAGCTGGACTTATCAACTGGGGCTTCTCATCAATCATCTTACCATTGGGTACGTTTTGCCGGTCTTAATTCCACAGGTTGCCCAGTTTCAGTGACGCTACTACTCAAATGCGTGCGGCATCTGCGAGACCAAACTATACCCTCCCCTTCAAAAAGCCAGAAAGTGTCGGGTGCAGACCATACACCACAAGTGACGACGGCCTCCAGAAAATGCAAATGTTTTTTTGCCAATGAAATGATTAACCTGTTACAGTTGTATTCGATCAGTTGACACTAATTACAACTATCATTTACTAAAAATCAGCTATCACTATGAACCACACAACCAGATTTACTTGGAGGCCGTCGTCAATTGTGGTGTTTGGTCTGCACCTCACACTTTCTGGCTTTTTGGAGGGGAGGGGGTAATGATCAAGAAGTGGATTTTTGCACCGCCCACTTCGAAGCACTAACAGCATTTGACCTCTTCGCTGCTAGCTTCTCCAACTGCCTTTATCTTTATTAAGGGTTACGTTTTAACTGTAATCTGTAATTATGGTGGCTCGATTGCAAACTCCGCCTACTTGGAACATCCCGCCCGCTGATTGGTAAGTGAGCGCTCTTTTCTTCATCATCGTCATTCACCCGTCACTTTTTCAATTTATTGGTTTTTTGAAACTGTCGCCCTAAAAACGATCCTGCGATTATCAAACGAGCGAACAGGGTGAATCCCCGGCCACCTTGCTCCATCCATCCGCCCACCGATAGCGCTTGAATCTGATTTTCCTTCATGGCTAACACTCTGTCCCCTTTTTCCCGTTAGTGTACTGCCCTCTGACCGAATTCTAGAATTTTCAGCAAGAGCTTCGCCCACTCTGCCACTCGCATGCCTCAGCAATGCTTCTGGGTGCACACCACTCTCACCATTAACATTCGACCTCCCCTCCTTCTCTTTCTATCCACCTTTCTCCTGCTCTCTAAGATTTCTCGGTACATTATGGGGAATGAGGAAACGCTGTCTACTCAAGAACACGCTCCGTCCATTGTGGGCGTACCTTCTACCTTAAGCATTGTTTCCCTACACCAACTTTTTCCTGCTCTGTAGGCTTTCTTCTAGCTGAGCTTTTTTCATTTAGGCACCGTCTTTTTAGAGAACGCCCACTCAGCGCAGGTGTGTCTCCATTTCCATCTGACTTATTAATGCTTACCTTTGCACATTTTTACCCCGGTCTTTGGGCTAATCTAGAATCAAATCAAAAATTTCCGTCGTCAAGCCGCCAATTTCGGTTCACGCCACGCCCACAGTGGGCGGGGCTGCGCTTGGCTGATGTATGCTTTGCCCTTCGCAAGACATGCCACCAATCCTATACCTGTCCCGGCTCCTCGGAACGACAGACTAAGCGCTTTTAGTTACTGTTACTAATGAAAATTGATTGAGTAAAACCCAAACCAAAATTAAGGTTAAATCTCAAATAGATTAAAAATTAATCAAGTAGATCTTCAATGTTTCTAGCGTTCTTACAAGGTTCCCAATGTGGAATGGATTTATCTTTTGCGACAAGCCAGCGTTCTCGAACGCTTTCTTGACTTCCTCGATAGCCTTCTTCACTTCAGGGTTTGGTATAGTCGATCCAATTCCTTTATCCACCGTATACATCACTTGAGATCGTTCACACCCCTGGCTGCCGAGAATAACGGCCAGAATCAGGGCAGCTGTGTATTTCATCTGAAACATTTCGATAAGGTTGCTAAGCTGTACTGAAACCGTGACAAATCAGTTATTAATCAGTTTCAAGGTAATTTTTTCGTGAATCCCTGAAAAAACAAGCTCGCCAACTAGCGCTGGGTCATCAAAATTTGAGCACGGATTCAGCGCATCGCCCACGAGAGCGCTTTCCCTCGAGCGCCAAGTCCGGGATCGAGCTGTTGTATTACTGCGCTTGCAAGTGCACTGGAGATGGCAATGGAAAAACGGGAAGAAACCGCTGATATGGACGAAAATAAAGCCCTCTCTCCAGTAGCAGCAAAGCGAAATAGCACTGATTTGTGGGCGGGCTCAATGGTGTTGGGCGGGGCCAATGCTGCATCCTAGGCCTTAGCGCCTCGGCCTTGTCAAATCATCCCGAAAGTTGTGTACGTGCTTTCCGCTTGCGTACCGCTGCTCTTTGCTCAGGGAAAACTTCCTTGCGACCAGAAATCCCAAACCTTGCCTCTTAACCAAACATTCTG